AAGAAGAAGAAGAAGAAGAAGAAGAAGAAGAAGAAGAAGAAGAAGAAGAAGAAGAAGAAGAAGAAGAAGAAGAAGAAAAGATTTCAGATGATCACCTTTTCAATTTTCTCTTGTTTGCCAAACAAATACCCAAGCTAAAAATGCCTTTTATCATATTTGTTTTTCATTAGGATATGGTTATTGGATCTGGGGGTACAATTTATCTTTCTGGATTCATTCATCATCATTAATTATCTAAACACACAGTCTGCACACACAGTTCTTTTTCTAACATTTTGTTTAACCCCCAAAGATAAACTTTTGAATTAAGAATCTTTATTCCCCCAAAGATGAGCTAAAAAAAGAAATCTAAATCTTGACTAATAAAACCCATTCACACAACTTCTCAGGATAATCACTACAACTCATAGCATTGCAGCATGTGGTCTGAGTAACAGTTATAAATACAGCTAATGGAGACCATTTCAGAATTACTTATCTGAAGCAATTCAATATTCAGCAATGGAACACTGCTAGTACAATTGAAAGGTAAGAGAAAGTAAAATCTGATGATGATTAAAACATGACTATGTACTACAGTGGGTGGACTATGCATATGATAAAATATGGGAAAGAGTGGGTTGTGAAACAGATTATGTGACTCTAGACCCATAAGAAGTATTTGTTCAAGATGGATTGATGGAACAGAGGAACATTGGAGAAGACAAGAATAGATGGCCTATACTTTCTCCCCTGACTGTGTAGGAAATGTTCAGACTTAATGACAAATATACCGTGTGTGTGGAGGTAATTTTGGAAAAAAAACTATTCTAGAATCGATGTTTCTGATTTGCTACAAATCTAAAATAAAATTCCTTTGGTCTTTGGCCATTGTGCCAAGGACAACATCTACTTTTGAAGTCTGATTTGAAGATTCGCACATCTGTGTATGTCCAAGTCATCTTCTGCCATTGTAAAAGGCTAACTGGCATAAATAGTACTCCATCCTCCATATCAACCCTAGGGATTAAAATAGACTAAGAGATTGTGACAAGGCACCCAATAATCTCTATAAATGAGAGTATTTTAGAACCTTGGTCCAATATCTTAATGCTATTGTGGGAAGTTATCATCCAGCCCTCTCCCAGAAAAATGAAATATCCTAGGAAATATTGAAAAGGCAGAATATTTCTCTGGATGTGAAAAGAAAGAAACGTGTTTTGAAAGACAGAATAGCTGCCTGTAGCTTCCCTGCCCATCCCCACTTTTGTCAATGGGCCATTAAGAAG